CCAGATCATGTTGGCTGTCCTCCTTCTGCCTCCTCTAATCAGCAGTGGAGTCAGAGATGTGGATTCAAGCTGCATTCTTAACCTTCTTATCATCCTTCAAAAACAAAGTCTCCAACAATTGATTTACTACCATGGAGGGTGTTGATATGGATTTATAAATATGTAGGAGAAGGGCAACAGGAAGAGCAAGCCGTGATCTAGAAAAGGGGAGGTTGTGGAGGCCACAGACGAGCCGGGGAAACATTTGTCTTTGTTTCCAAATGGCAGGGGCAGCTGCTACCAAAGGTCAGTAAAATGTGACCAGAACAAGGCGCTATACAAACGCGAGCATGTGCTTGTGACACACCAAGGTGGAGCAGCCACTTTCCCTCGCACACACGCACATACCACATAACACACCCATAACATGATGGAGCCAAGAGCTGATGCAGCTGGTGGCCTCAACTTATTCCATATTAACAGCCAGAGTGTTATTTCTGTAGTCTGTCTTAAAGGGGATCATATCCTTTGGCTTCCAGATAACTGCCCAGTTTTTTGTTTTCAAAAAAAATAAAAGTCTGTTTATTCTCTTGAACCTGCACCTGCATACAATGACCATTGGCTACATGAACCGAGGAGTCCTTTTACAAGGTAGTTTGCCATTTTCTGTACTTTCTGAGTTACAGAACATTGTGGGGAGGTGGGGGGGGGGGGGGGGGGCATTAGGTGGCAGTATTTAAAAGGATTCTACCAATATAGTAAATGAGGAAGGGTCAGGATCAGCTCACACAACAATCCTGTCTATTTTACGTAATAAATCTTTAAATAAAGCTATTTTTGTGCCACTGAATGGCAAGATAATATGAGGCGAGAATGTTGTTTTACGGAGACGCACCATGGTGTGGTATCATTATCTCTACCCTGCAGCCAAGCTCCGCTGCAGCTGGTGGCCTGTCTGTGTTCTCCAGTCTCCAAACTGGAGCACCTCTCATCAGTGTGACTGTATCAGGTTGCCCTGTCCCCTTTAGCTCTGCAACAGTGGGGTGTTTGAAGTGCCATCTCCCGTGTGCTCCCACCTGCACCTGTGGCTGTAACACGACCTGCGAGCTCACACCGATCATCACCACTGCCATCGCCCCCAGCCTCTCATCTGTGCTTCTTTCAGGGAGCCAGAGTCGTGAGCCCAGTGACAAGGGAGGGTCAGGGGATAAATGGGCAGAGATCAGACGAAACTCTTGCAAAAACAATTGATGATGGGAGGAAAGAGCGCAGTGCATAGGATTCTGACATACAGTAAGTAATACGTTCAAGAACAGTCTTTGATGTGCACAGTCTGGATCATCCTTCAAAGCATGCAACTGTTTTTCTCATCTAATCGACTACATACAAAGAAATCATGCATAGAAAAAGACAAATACATAGTGTAAGAGAGAATGAGGAGAAAACAGATTTTCTTTCTCTTCAACATTTGGCAAACCAAGACGGCGCAGATAAATGATAAAAACACATTTCTGGTACAGTCGATTTTGCGTGTAAAATATATAAATATATCTTCTATCCCAAGGCTCTCTTTGCTCTACGGTCTTGGGGCGGGAGGAGGGGGATAAAGTGATAAATTCCTTACATGAGCTTTTAAACAGGAGCAGAGAACCTGTCAGTCTACTCAGACATTTTTGAACCCTCCCTGAACTGCTACTGTGTGTAGATTCTCTTTACAAATTACACTTACTGTGATTTAATGACTGTGTTATAATATTTAATTGGGAAATATCTGCGAAAATACCTCCCCCTTAAAGAAACAACAATTAGAAGTAAAGTCAGACTGTTGACAGAATGGTTACTATTTTAAAATAGGACAGCGATTAGCAAACACAGCCGCAGTTTAACAAAGCCCAGACAAACAAAAGACAACATATGACTGTTTTTTCCTCAGGGCATCGTATATACTTTCTGCATCTCTGACTAGACAGTGAGTGAAACCCGACTCCTGCCATCTTCCCTCTGTTCAAAACATAAACTTGAAGACACTAGCATTTGCCTGTGGAGCGAAAGGGCAACCAGAAGGACAGTTGTTATTTTCAACCCATTAACTGCAGTGTAAGCGAATGGGCCGCACTGTTGCTGCACTGTCTCAGTTCCCAGAATGATGTGCTTCTAGTCGAGTGCTTTTGTGGATGCAAATCGAGCGTGCCTTGAGGAGACAGAAGGTCTATTATAAGGCCACTGTAGGGAATGAAGGGTGGGCAATGTGCTTCATTCTCAACACATTTTGTTTGTTTGGAAGAGATATGGTTCAAATATGTCCCCTTGTGGCCTAGTTGGCACAACCAACACAGACCGCAACTGTTTAGTGAGTTCATCACACAGTGGCAGGGTCCTCTGTACATGACCTTTGAACCCTTTGGTCAAGGAAGGGTCCTTCTCTATACACCAGAGGAGGAAACGTAGCCCTAACCCTTTTGGATTGGTTGTTTTAGTCAATTTATCTGATTGTCTAAAAATACTCTTTACAGTCATTAAACATTCTCATAAAAATATTGTTCTAGTATTACAAAATGCAAACAAACCAAAAATATCTAAGGTAGTTTAATATTGCTCAGAAATGTTTTTAATAATATACATTATGGGGAATTCTTCTTTATCCTTTGCTACTTACATGTCACCAGGAGGGTTTTGTACCAACAAATTATTTACTGGAGCCCAAGTTTTGCCTAAGAGAAAAAAGTGTGACGCTGCCACCACCCTGACTATAAAAAGAGCTTTCTTTCAGTAATGTTATTTGATTCTTTGCAAGCAGTTTGTAGACCATAAATGTACAAATCAGAAAATGGTGAGGGTTTTTTTTAACGACAGCTGAACTCAATTTGTTAAGTCACTTTATTTTGATAGCAGATTTTCCTATGGGTTAGAATTGCTTTGTCTCGACTGTTTGGTTCTAAACAAAACTACTTTCGTGGGCGGGGCTTGGTGATCAGTCAATTGGCATCAAAATGAAAATGGTCAAGTGACCGGTCGTCATTTAGTGCCGCCTGTAGGCGACGTCATGCAACAAAGGGGGAATTAAACATAACCTGCTGATTACAGGAGAGCTTAACTGTGACTCGTTGACTATAATCAACATTCAAACGTGTGTTTTATTAGCACAGACTTTAAATGGGAGTGTTTTATGTGGATATGTAAATAATGACAGCGACAAAAGGCTTCGGCCCTGATCAGGGACAGAGAGCCTCCTGCTGCTAAACTGGGCGGAGACATACCTTTTCTATTTCATATCAATGTACAGAAGAACCGTTTACGCATTAAACACTGGGTTTGCGCCACAAGCTTCGACCGATATCAACAAAAAGGGCAAAAGCACACGTTCGCAAACCGGCTAATATTTAAATGTCACGCTGGTCTTACTTCTTTCTCCCAGTGAACCCAAACGCAGCATTCCCTTTCTCCACCAAGAAAAAGACCGTTCAATGGCCGCATAGGTGGGAACACTTACAGCCACCAGCAGCACTAGCAGCAGCAGCAGCACACTACTTATACTGAAAAAACAACCACCACCCATTTACAGACCTATTCACAAAGCCATTCACTGCTGACTTTAAATCCTCACTGTCCTTTCCCGAGGACAAAATAACAATGAGGCCAGCAGCTGCTGGAGGCTACACTCACATACAACTGACATTTTACTCTTAGTATTTAAAACCTCTTTGAGTTGAGTTGTGTTAAAAAGAACAGAAAGAATTACAACACGTGAATGAAAAAGGGCACTTACAGTGAAAATGGAATACACAAAGAGCCTCCCCTCCTCTTCTCTGCTCTCCTCTCTGTTCTCCAATGGGAACAAATATCCCCGCTGCCCTCAGGAAAAACGAGGATAAACTGGTAAAAATAAAGAGATACAATTTTTTTTTCCTTCTTAAGCCAAATGTAACTAATCGAAAACAGTGAGCTCGGTGCTCATGTTTTCACGCGTTGCCTCTTCTCCACAAACACAGTCCAGCTGCCTTTTCCCATTCTTCTCCTGAGGAGGAGACACGCCGTTAACGCCGCTGACGCTGCCGCTGTTTCCTGTCCAGAGCAAGAACAACTGCGCTGCCTTCAACGACCGTGGGGAATTTCACAACCCTGAGTCAGCGAGGACATGAGGGTGTGACAAGCAGGGATAAACCTAAATAAATGAATCAAATCCACTCGCATTCAGTGATTCAACGGTGATTAGTTTCCACTGCCAATGACTCTTTTTGTTTTTGTAGTTTATTTAAATAAAACAAAATAAGCCTAACAATAATATTTTGCTCCATGTTTACTAAAAATGATAACCCAAGAGTAAAATAATGGATGATATACGAAAGGCATATTGAATAAATATTACATTGGAATTATTAAAAGTATTTGGTTTAGAAAAAGCATTTTTGTTTCGTTTTGAGAAAAAAAAAATCTCTGATAGATCCAAACTCCAGGCGTGAAGCCATCTGTCATGGCTACTATGGGTGAAAGTGAAAAATGGGTGAGACACAACAGAAGAAAAGCAAAGAGGGGGGAGACCAGACACTACCTTTTAAATATTGTCGGACAAGATAAAATGCCATAACAGTAAAATAATAATAAATATAAGCATCGTCACCTATAGAATGGTAATAATGATGATTAATCTTTCAATAATCTAATATCATTTTAAAAATACAATACATATCAAGGATAGATATCAAAACGAACCAAAAACAGAAACGCGGTCATATTCCACACTAGGAAGCAAGATATTCCTATAAACACGAGGCATGACTAAGAACCTGCTGGTTCCACTTCATTCATTTAAGTCAGAATTCCAGACGTGGGGATATCACAGAGTTCACTTCATTGAGAACTGGTCATCTCTTGGTGCGGCACACACAGGAAGTCAGACTTACTACGTTTAGTCTCCACTGCATCGTAGCAGGAGTGATGAGTAGCAACCGTAGTAAATAGTTTTTAATGACTTGCAGCATTTGCTTGCGTCAGACTGACTTCTGCTTCTGAAAAAATGCTTTGTCGCCATCTACTGGTCTAAAGACCACGTTGCACTTGTAACTTTTTTGCTTTTGCTTTTAATTTCCCTTTTCTCCTGTACTCCTCTAAAGGAGAGAAGGGAAGAGAAAATGATTACTACATACCTGAGAAAATATGCGAGTACATTGTAATATTGTAATTTTTTATTGGAGTGGATCAGTAAGACTATACATAAGTTAAAACATGTTTACCAAGATAAATGTTGTGATTGTGGTTAATGTAACTAAGTACAAAACACACTTTAAAACGGTCCAATCGACTTGTTTTAGTAATTCCGTTGCATCAAGTCATGTGGTTAATAAGCGTACAATGTCAAAGCGCAAAGCACAAAAAATGTACAAATCTTTGCCAAAAATTCTGACCTTACAAGAGGCAAAGAGGCTTGAAGCTCCTCTATAAATGAACCCAAAATAAAAAGTTCTTTGTGTGTCTCATAGTTCTACTATGAGACCCATCACAGGAAAGGCTAGTAAATTCTCCTTCACCTCCAAGATTCTTTTTAACCGTACAACATCCAAAGCTATGTCTTACACAGCAGATAATATATCAAACCAGATAAATACATAATTTGATGAGAGTAGTTGGTGCATTTTCTTTTTTCTTCTTCTTTTTTTGCATAACTAACAAAGAAGTGCAGAAATCACACAAAGTCACAAACAGAAGACAACGGAAACCTCAGATAAGTAGGTGTTCTCTTTCTCACAGGATGTTTTACTCTGCTGACAATGTGAACTTCAGTCACTGTAAGACCGTGGGGGTGAATCTGTTACATACCTAAAGAGGATTTGATCTGCAGTCTTCAAAGGAATGAGGAACCAGAGCTGATGGAGTCAGAGTAAAGAAGCAGAACCTCTCTGCAGTGCTTGAACCAGTCAGCATCAGGATCTTCATGGTGTGTTCGACGAGGAGAACTATTCTGCTGGAGGCAGGTTCGCGCTCATGTCGACAAACGTAGAGATGAGAGTCTGCTGGATGTTGGTGATCGTCCTTGGCTGCAGCTGGTCAGAAGCTTCAAAATCCCTGGGCAAAGACTGCGGAAATGGTTTGTTATAATTAAAAAAAGACTAATAACCACTGTTATTATTGTTATTATTACTTTTGTTGATAATGTCAACTTCAGTCATTATTGATTATTATGCCACACTGAAGACCTGGATGGTTAGATACAGATACACGGAGGGAAGTGGAAACATTTCTGTAAAACGAAACAGTAACTCAACATGTTGACAATCCACAACAATAAGGTAATGGTTGTTTTTTCCGTTGTTTTTTTTTTTAAAAAAGCTTTCAATACACTCGCCGGATGAGCAAGTTTTATGACTATGAAAATTACGCGAATTGAGTGAGGAACAGTTTTAAAACAGCTGGAAAATTCGGAGGCTACACCAGCAAGTTTTATAACTACATGAAAAGGACGATAATTCGCAGTATTAGTTATTTAAACTGCTTTCAGACACGATCTCAGGCACGTGGCAAGTTGAAATAATTTGACTGTCAAACCGATGCATTGCATACTGGTCATATAAAGTGTTAAAAATACAAGAAACTAACCGTGTTTAACGGTCGGGTAGCAGAAAACTATGGCTTGTCTGCCAAATTGGCCGATGTACACATGCGCAGTTAACTCGGGTAGGAAAAAACTATAGGTAGGAAAAACTTAAAATTTAGCCCACGGTGTATTTTTATTTGGGCTGTGATATCATATCAAATGTGAACTAGAGTTGGCCTGTCAGTATATAGTCCCTATATACTGGTAGGATTTGTAGTATCACAGGTGTGTGAGCTATTAGCTTTTATCACATACATTTTGGGTTTTTATTTTATTGTTGGCCTGTGAGAAAAATATTTACATAAAATAGAACTCAAAAGGCTACAGATACAGAGACATAATAAGAAACAAATACCGCTGATGTGTGTTTATAATATTAAGCTTTGGTCGTTCAAGATTCAATGTTTACGCAAAACTAAAGTTTGTTTCCATATAAAAAAGTTCTACATTACAGATCTGGAGAGAAGGGAAAACATGGACAATTTTTCAATAAATATTGAGTTTGGCCCATGACTTTGTCCCAGTGTGAATTTGAGTTGGACACCCTTGGTTTAGTCCATTCCAGTCCAACTCTGGTTAATTTTGGTCTTTGTTCTTCTTCTCCAGTTCAGTTGAGAAGTTTCTGTTCAATCTGCAACACACCTGTACTGGTGCCGTGCCCAAACATCACCGCTGCTGAGATGGTCTTCAAACTCTTTAAGGATCAAGAATACCTCTCCAACATTTCGTGCATCCACAGTAACAGTACGCTGACCTGTGAATTGTCCAAAACCAGTGCTGACATCCAGGTCCAGAAGCACCAGCAGGAGAAATCTGTCAGTTTTCTCCTGACTGGAGTGACTGACAGCAGCCAGGGCATCTATGGATGTGAAGGCACTAAAAAGTTTCCTCCTCCCATGATAACGGTACAGAGTGACGTGAGGATCCAGGTTCTTCAAGGTAAATGTTTGTCGTGAGTGGACAGACCATTGCAGTGGAATTTCGAAACACATTTACACATTTTTCCTGAAAGATTTCTTTTTTCCAGGGCATATCTGCAAGTGCAAAGAGAACAGTCGTCCCAGCGGGGAGGACCCACAATTCAGATTGGACTTGCTGTTGATTATTCTTGTTGTACTGCTCAGCATCTACAGCATCATTTTCACCATCATTGCAGTTGTCCAGTGGGTAAGACAACAAATAATTCCATATTTCAGAAACAGGATTTACATTTTGTCACATATTCATTCATTCACTGAAAAACCGTCTCAGGCAGAAAAATAATTTCTCTCATTTTTTATCTGATAAAACGTGCTTGCACGAAAGCGGGAACTTCCTGATAACTTAAGATTTGGCAGAATTCAGAATCAACAACAAACTGCCTGGTGCTAAATATAAGTCTGTTACACAACTGCCAGGAAATGGAGAGACGTGAAGTTCAGCTGTTGCTGCTGGGATTTTTTTTTATGCCATTGACTGAGTTAGGCTTTGCAAACATTTAGTGCAAAGTTTTTTGGCAGCTGCTGTTTGCTTCCAACACGTGACACCAATCCTATGTAGAAACCTCAACCTTATCATCACTGTAAGAGGGTGTGAGCTGATCAAACTGTTGTTGATATTTGTTTCTGTCTCCAAACACCACACACATCTTGTGTTGATGGTGCAAACAGGACTGTTGGTGTTTTCACAAAAAATTTTATTAGGATTATTTTGTGAACTGTAGTGTTAATACTATCGTTCCCAAAAAGACAGAATTTTGTTATTGTTTCTTTTTTCCTATATTCACTTAAAGTCTTACATCAAACTTCACTCAAATTAAATCAAATTAATTTAAGTGAAGTTTAAATTAAATAATTTAATTTAATTTAATTAGAATAAATAAATAAAATTAAACTTTAATCACAGGTTTTTCACATGGGGAGTTTAAATTGTATGAAACCTGGCTTTTTTTATGTGTAAATATTGTCCCCAGTTTTTCCTGTCTTTGCGGATGGGAGCTGGGCCTACAATGACGCGTTGTGTCTTCACTGTGGTTTCCTTCAGGTGAAGCAGAGAAGCACAGATTCTCACAACGACTACATCAACACCAAGCCCAGAGCACCACAAGATCGCAAGAGGAACAAAGGCGTTCAGAAACCTGTGCCGCGGCACTTCTGAGAATCCTCTCCCACTAATTGCACTCACTTCGTCACTAACAGCACTAGACACAGCTGTACACTGTAAAAGCATGATTTTATTTTTTTTTATTTGCTTTTTTATGTCGTAGCATTTCATTTGTCCGTTGTGATCAATAAAACGTTTTACCATGAACAGCGTGGCTTCTGCTGTCTTCCTGTTACTGTGGTGACCTGATTCTCACACATCTCTGCCTCAAACTCAAATCTCATTCTTAACTGTGGTCAAAACACACCTGGTGGTGCCCGAGTGAGGGGATTCTAACCACAGTGAACTGATTTAGATGTTAGTGTGGTCTTACTACTGGAACACGGGGCTTCTCTAAGACTTTTTTTTTTACCATAGAGAGAAATTAAGTCATACGAACACAGTTTAAGCAGGACTGTAAATTCACGCTTTTTTCAAATTTTGGAAGCAGATGGCTTGTTTTCTGTCTGTTCAATGGAGCTTTTTTTATATATAACATTTCTCCAAAGTCTTTTATTTTGAAGTGCCATGTATAAAAAGGTGTTTGTAACTGGAAGAGAGTCTGGTAAATTTGAGAGCAAATTAAATAATGTTATTTATTTTTTCTCTGTGGCTCTATAACAAACGAGCCGCAGCCTGGGGCCGGTCCACGACCCTGTGGCTGAGAACCTCTGCTAACGAAAAGGGAAAAAATGACACACACCAAAGGTCTTGACACGACCTAGGTATAGGTCATTGTGTAGTTCTGTGAAAACAGGAAGATTTCCTTAGAGTGATCGTCACTGAGGTAAAAAAAATCAACCTGCACCATTTCCTGCCATCTCCTCCACCCACTCCAGCAGCCACACACACCACGCTTTCTGCAGATGTAGCTGCTTCATAGGGACTCCACCTTCACCTTGCTCACCTTGCAGTTTCTCTGCAAGCTCACTACAGTTTTTACTGGCTTCAGTCAGCTGCACCCTTTTGCTCATTTGCCACAGAGATCAGCAGGATTTACATGTTGTTTCTGTTAGCTCGTCACTGCAGCCTGTGATTAAAAACAAATGGCTTTTACGATTCAAGAATTCTCTTCCTCCGCCTGCGCTCCACCACAGATGAATCAGTCTTTTGACGAGCTAAGCATAAAAATATGCAGCACTGTGCAAAAAGTTAGGACAACTGTGCCTCCATCAAAGAAGCTGCAAAATAAAATGGCTTTTACTGATTTTAATTGTCAATTTTTTGTCGCAGACTTAAAGAAAACAATGTCAGAAAACAGAAGACAAATTCAAACATGATCAATATTTGTATGAACAGCTCTTTCCTTCTTTAAAAAAACAAACAAACAAAAAAACACAACGCAGCAGGTCAAAATTACACAATTTCCACTTGCCTTGCATTATTGACACCTACTGGACTTACTAAGTAGTAGTACTGGTACAGTAGTAGTTCAAATACATAAAATAAAAATAAACAGAGCTGGATATCTAATAACACACTTATAGTGGCTAATTATAAAGTACCACTGTGTTTAAATAACTTTGTTTTTCTTTTATTTCCCACAATCAGCTAAACTTAAGGAGACAAATGTTTTAAGGAGGCTCTCATTTGTCGTCTGTAATATTTACAAAGGACAGCAACTGAACTGTGAAAGCGAAATTAAAACTGTCACTCCGTCTCTCCTCATATTTGCTGAAACAAAGTTAATTTCTCGAAGCCCTGGCTGACTCCAGTGTGAAAACAAAAAACAAACAAACCCACAGCCAATGATATTCATTTTTACGTGCTTCATTACATCATAAAAATGAAATTATAAAATGAAACATCACAATGATCTGCAATAAATTAAATTAAAGAACAGTCTGGAAACATCTTTGAAATGTATCTTTATTTAAGACCAATAATAAGTTTATTTTTCTGTATTTGTTTGACTTAGTGGTTGTTGTTTTTCTGGTCCTTGCTCCAGATTAGTTGATGGTTGGTGTACTGGGAAAATCTGTTTGCTGAGGAAATCTCTTCTCCTCTCCTCGGAGTCAAACTTTAGCTTTGGCCCGTTGACCTGAAAAAGAGAACCAGGATGATGTCAGTGTTGTTTAAAAACCGGAATCTGAGACAAAATATATATAACTGAAAGAAAAGTCAAGATTCTGATTTTACTGAATTCAGACCTTGATTACCAATTTTTTTTAATTTTTTTAGGCTTGTTGTATTGATGGGTTGGGAAATTAAAAAAAAATCACTTTGTTATTTTGATAACCCTTCATCCCTCCTTTAGGAAAAAAATAAGAAATTAAAATATTTGTAGAGAAGCAGGGCTCATCTCGACAACAACATTATACAGTTGAAGGTGAGGATGTTGTCTTTAAAGAGGAAACACCCGGCTCGTGGGTGGGGTTGTGCCCACCAACGACTGTGCCATGCTCTGCCCTGCAGCCAGGCTGCTGAGCCTGTCCATCCAGGACACAGGCTTGTTTACCTACAGTGGGAAGGTGGCCCCGCCCCGACAACACAGAACTGTCATTTGAATTAAATGGTGATAAAATAATTAATATAATATACTGTATATACATATACAATAAAATGTGGTGAGTTATTTTTCTACTTTTGCCTTGAATACTTGGAGAGGTGAAGGCCTCCAATATGTAAGAGTACACAGCCATCTAAGACTTACGCTGTAGAATCTCTTCAAGTTTTTTAATCAATAATGATAAAAAAACAACAACATCTAAATATAATCAATAATGATAAAAAAAAAAAAACAACATCTAAAGAGTAAAGACTTAATTTAAGCAAGTCTCACCACAACAGGTCGGTATCCCAGAATCCTCAGGTGGCGCATCTTCATGGCCAGAGCCCCACGAGGTTTATATGTGTCAAAGTGAAAAGCCTTGGGTGACTGACAAATGACTGCAACTCTGCAGAACAAACAGTGATTAATAATAGGTTACAGTAATATCATGAGAAAACAACCGTGTGTGTGTGTGTGTGTGTGTATATATGTATATATACACACATATATACATATATACTGTATGTATTTACAGTATATTATAATTTTGATCTATTGCATTTGTATTTTAATTCTACATAAAGGTCTGTAGGACTTGTGAGAACTTCACATAGATAATGCATTCCTAAACCCTTACCATCATTGTCAGATTTATTGTGACTGTTAATGTGTTTAAATGATATGAATTTTAATGTTTCTCAGTTGCATTTCAAGGTTACTGATGAATGATCCAGGGTTGCTCTGGTGTCTTACCTTTGACTGCCCTCTGCTGGAGATGACGCCTCACTCTGAGGTATCGTTATCACACCATCTATGAGTCAAAACAGAAAACCACATTCACGTTTTTACATAATGGTTAATGACCTTTCACCACTTTAATGTGTTTTTTTTTTACCTATGACTATGAAATTCTCCTCCACCACCATTTCCTGTAGCCTGCTCTCTGGCTGCTCTGCCACTACACTTCTCAGGCTCTCTGAGAGCCACTGTTTGACTGACGGAGCATCAGGCACGTGATCCCCGAGTACTGACAGGGGCACCGTCAGTGAACACAGGAGTTGCGGCTGATCAAGGCGTAAACACAGGTCCACCATCTGAAATATTTCTCTTTGTCTCTCCTTCAGTCCTGATGCTGATGGGAAATAACGGTAAAATGAATGTTGAATGTTAAATAGTGAGTCCATACAAATGTTAATTTTGTTTGTTGGTCTATTTACCAGTGAGTTCTTCGATTGTACTGGGATGCAGAAGTTTCTCCAGCGGTGCAGCGGGGAAGTGACCCAGGACACACAGAGAGAAAACAGTTTGTAGGAGATTCCACCCAGAAATCTGAGGCAGATATGAGTCTAACCCCTGACTGAGTCTTTCCAGAAACCTGTGACGACAAGACAAACCATTGCTCACCATGACATTTCAGGAGTGGATTCGTTTGTCCCATGGAAAATAAAGATAAATTGAGAAAGTTAAACTTTTCTAAAGAATGGATGAGTCACATGTGATTTTAATGAAAAACTGACAGTAATGACCGGATCAGAGTTACTCACTGCTCTCTGTGTTGCTGTGCATCATAACTCAGAGAGGAGTAAACTCTAAGAAAACAGAGGAGGGTGATGATGCTCCAGTTCTCTGGGTCGGTGATCACCTTCTCAGTCAATGCCTCCAATAAAGAAGCGGGACAGAAGCGGAGTTTCTCAAACGCACTGAGGAAGAGGCACAACTGCTCCCCAAAGACGATGAGGCCAAGAAGAAATATAAGAAAAACAAAAAACAAAGAGGTAATGAATTGGATACGGTTTGTTGATCTAAATTATTATTCTGAATTCTGTTCACACCAAATAAGCTGTGTTAGCCTTTTGTGTTGTTTCTATTTGAGTCAGGTCATGACTGTACATTAATCAGACAAAGACTGTTGGGAACCTCTTTGCTGGTCCACTTTTCCAAATTAGAAGCCACATAGTCTGAAACGCCTGTGAGCAGGTCTGTAGGACAGCGCTGCAGCTCCTCACAGGCTTGAAGGAGTGGTATCAAACGGGGGAAATTAGTTCTCTGGAGGTTTCCTACCACAAAGCGAAGGTTTAATCAGAAAAAAATAAATGAAAACATTTACACACATAAACTATATATTTATATATTTGTAGAATAATAAAGGTATTTTAGATTTTTCAACTATAACATCAATGGAGATACAATCAAAATACATTTCTGTGTCTAAATAGAAAAATAAAATACCTATGATCTTTTTACTACAGATGTCGAGCAAAGGTTTGGAGTCCAAGCCCACTTTGCCCAGAACACTGATCATGAGCTGAGCCTCATGTGGATGCATTTGATCTGTCATTGATAAAGCCTTTTTCTGGAGCAACATGCAGACAAACACACAAGAATCACATGAGGAAATTAGGCAGAAATATTTTATGGCCTCTTTATTGGCTACACATGTTCCATGGTATATGACTAAAACTCAAAGTAGACGTCAGCGTGACAAAATCATTTTAATGATTGAAGTGAAGTGAAGCGAGAAGTGAACGTTGGTGCTGCTGATGGAGTAGGTTTATTCTGCACAGCCATTTCTAGGGTTAAGGCTGAGGCTGGTGCTGATTAGAACGGCTAGAATTTGCAACAGAGATGTGCAGCTGATAAATGTTCAGTAACTGAAACTCTAACGTAGGTCTGAATCTACGTTAAATCTACGCCATAAAAATGTAAGGCAGATTAGAAGTCAAATTAAGGTTTGACTAGGTTCCAACAACTTTTACAAAGTGGCCAGTATGTGTGTGTAAATACTGTGAGTATACAGTAAGAGTATACTGTACTCAGTACTGACCTTGAATTTATTTTTTAGCATCCGCGGGGTGTCCTTCCCAAACATTAGCATCATGTTTTGAAGATGCTTCACCTCTTTAATCTCAGGAAGACGGGCCTCAATTAACAGTCTTGGGAAGAGACAAATGACACAATGTAAATCACACAGTAAAAAATATAAAAAATGGGGTTAAACTTTACATTGTTGCTCGAGTTAAAAAATAAACTTTAACTTTAAGCTTTGGAAACTTAAGTCCGTCGATGAACGATGTGCATCTAAGAGGATGAAAGACTATATTTTTAAATTTATTATTTTATTTATTTCATTCTTACCTCATGCACTCCTTCAGCACAGTGACATTGGGGCAGCTCTCCATTCCAATCAGACAGGTGGCTAGGATGGACAGGCTCTTCTCATCAAACTCACCCAGTCTCTCCTAAAAGGGAAGAAGGAAATATATGAAAATTTGAAATCCCAAAATTTTATTTTTAGGATTATTAGGACAAAACAGTTACACATTGCTGCATGACAAGCACCACAGCATCTTCACCTACCTGACAGGTGCGGAGAAATGTCTGGATCACAAAGCTTTTTTGTGGAACCCCAAGTTTGATCATTCTCAGGAGGGAGAAACTGATAAGTGTAGGGCGCATGTTCCCCACACACTTAATGGCCTTTTGCAGCAGGTTTTCGAACGCAGGATGCTCAAACATCAGGAGCAGCTCCTGGTGTTTCTGCTTGTCAGGCATCTTTTTAGTGGTGTCCCACATGTACATCAGGGATCTGCTGACGTGAAAAGCAGCTGGCAGGTTTTCACAGGAGAGATCTAGGACGTCTGACGGGGAGCCACAGCCTTCCAGTTTGTTTGCGAAGTCTAGCATCTCGTTTCTAGTCACTGAAGTAGTCGTATTAGGCAAAATTAAATCTGCAGCTTCACTGGACTGCACCTGCTTCTCTTCCATTTTATAAACACTGCCCCCCGAATAAAACCTCACAGAGTCGCTGCGATTCGTCATCTGGCTGTGACCTCTGGGCCAGACATGAGTGTGAAGGGATGTGTTTGGAACCAAATTTGCCAAAAGCAACCTGTGTTGCATCCACTGAGACCTGGAGCTGCAGAAGCGAAGGGCCAGATTCATAACTTTCTTTTGTGCCAACGAAGCCATTGTCGATCTTCACACATGAAAGTGGAATCAAATAAAAATGCCTAAGAAAAAAAAACAACGACACAGAAACTCGTTGAAGTTCATAGATTAGCTGTCATCAAGGTGAAACTGTGGATACTGTTAAGCGCTTTAGTTAGAAGTGACCGACGTATCTTACCTGGAAATTTCCTCTTTAAATCACAAGTTCGTGAAACTCGTGACCTCATACAAGTTTTTAAGACGACGTTTAAGTCATTGTCGGTGAGGGTGAACTGAGCTTTACACCATTCCGTCCAAACACTACCATGTTGCGGACACTCTGCACCATGAAGAGGTCCTGTGTCAACTAGTACATCCCTGTCCTGCCTGATTAAAATTATCTTTAAAAAATACGATCACTACGATTTATGTATCTGAATCAAATCTTTAGTTAAAAAAAACACAGTCAAAACACTTTTTTGCCGACTGGCAGTATGTTATATTTTGTTCGTCTGATAGGCAGGTACAAACGACACTGCCTGTGTAGAAATAAAATATATTTCTATTTAATACGGGTTTTAAAAGCTTAGATTACAAATGTAGTGCAACGATGGTTTTAAAATCCAAGTGAAATGGAAAGGACACGTTTTGATACATATATGATAGCTTATTTCAATTTTTTTGTACACGGACTTGAGTAAGCGTCTATTCCACCATCTCTTAGCAACCAACTGTCCGCTTTCAAGACAGAATGGCAAAATTTGTATTGGCCGGTAAAGACTTGATTTTTTTTTCATTTTCTTTCTACAGTTAATCGCGTTAACATTTTTTAATATATATATATATATATTTATTTGTCATTACTTTGAATCTCGCCAGGTAAATCCGACTGCCCTCATTTTGCAAGAGCAGAACTTTTAGCAGACGCTCTGTATCGATCTCTGCCAAACTTCAGGGTCCATAAAATCTCCATCATCCCACATGAATGGAAGGTTGTCATTTATTTAAAATTGAAAAGAATGGCTCACGTGTTTATTCTTAATACTTCCTTTTCCTCTTTTTTTTAAACTACAGGGGTGGTTGGAGGCGACTTGCTATAGAAATGGCTGGAAACATGAGGAGTCTCCTGTGGTGTGGAGGGAACTTGTTGATCAAGGAGGCAAACGGATGCTTTTAGGAGGCTTCAGTGACTTCTTGGAACATTGCCGGGTAGGCCACTTCTTTTTTTTAAATTAAATGTGTATATGTATATTTCCTTAATTAATTGTTGTTATGTGCAGGATTATTATAATTTTACATCAGACATGGATTCAGAAACAATGCTGCGTGTGGCAGCAGAAAACCTGGAGACTAAGATTAAATTAATTGCAGAGGAGCAGCATCGTCTCAGTGTCATCAAACCCCTTCACATATGGATCACTGGGTGTGTGTTGTTTTAAAACTGACAAACCAATAATATTTTTCTTGCTTTTAAAATTTGTGCAAATATTCATGAACTGCTATTTTCCCAGGGCTCTTTCCACAACCTCCTCCTTCCTGATCCCCAATCTGCTGTCCAATGAAGTGTTTCCTGATGCTGCTGCTCTCAGCCTCCACCTGCTGGACCTACAGGGCAGTGAGCAGGAACTAAAGGGGCTGAAAATGGAGGTAGAGGACTTGTCTTCCTCTCTCCTCCATCAGGTATACACACTCTGCTTTACATCTCTGCTGCCCTGTGAAGCTGTACACCTCCAAAATATCGATTTCTGTCCCTTTGTGAAACATAGGTAAGCAATTTGACAATGTTCAAATTGCATTGTGCTAAACAGAACAATTGTACATAAGGCTTAGCTAATCTAATCCTGCTAATTTCTGTTGCTTTGCTTTTTATTTGTTGCGCTTTAAGGACAGCTTGTCTCATTTGTGTTGCAATACTGCCACCCTCTGGTCCCATAAGATAGCCCAAAGGAAAATTAAGTCGCCCAACGTGGGGCTCGAACCCACGACCCTGAGATTAAGAGTCTCATGCTCTACCGACTGAGCTAGCCGGGCTTGGTATGACCCTGAAAGAAAAATATGTTGCACCTAAAAACGTCTTATACAAGGGTTTGTTTTTTAGGAAAGTCCAGTGTACTATGTCTTTAAACTATGACGTGGTGACATTAAATTTCTGTTAAGTCCAGAAGTTTGTTACAATATATTTTTTATATATAATCCTACCAAAATTGACATTATATTAGATCAAATTTCTTTAAGGGATGACATTGTTGAAAATTAAATGAAATCGATTTATCAAAACAAAAGACATTTCTCTTTGTTTTTATAGGTTACCATTGACACTGATCTGGAGCAAGCCTTCCACCAAGCAGATGTTATCCTCTTTCTTGAGGAGTGCTGGTCTGGTGACAGTGACACAAAGGGAGAGAGTGATGAGGAAAAGAAAGAGAAGAAATTACAGATCATTTCTGACCGCTACACAGAGTATGGGCGACTGATTAACAGAAGAGCCAACGCGGATGTGAAGGTGATTGTGTCTGGAGACTCATTTGTCAACATGAGATGTTCACTCCTGGTGGACGCTGCCTGCTCTATGGACAGTAACCAGTTTGTGGCCACAGCAAGTCAAGTGGAGAATGAAGCCAGGGCCGTGATAGCAGAGAAGCTTGGAGTTCAGACTTCAGGTGGATCAATCATAGTACAATCATATAGTCAATCATAGGACACAAAACTTTTCATCTTCCAGCATCAGCGTGTTTAAAGCTACCTTTGTTCTGCTATAGACGTCACAGATGTGATCGTGTGGGGAAATATCACTGGTAGTTTCTACACTGACCTGCAGAGGGTGCAGGTTTTCAACTTTGGCGGCGCAATCACAGGCCCGCCCTTTTTTTCCCAGTCCCTGCACACAATTTTCCACGACAGGTGTGTAATATTGTATTGTTTCCTTTGTTACACTTCCTAACAGTAACTGATCATTTGTACATTACAGTTCTGATGGTTGTTAATGTCAGAAATTCAGATTTTTTCCCCCATATATTGTGTTTAAGGTCTTTATCTCACAATGTGACTCTAAACTGTACAAAAGAATTCTGACTTTGTGCCCTGTTACGCCAACCCATTCATATCTTTCAGGAAATGGTTGGAGTCTGAATTCCAGGACTTGGTACATTGTCGACGCACAGCCGTGGCTTCAAAAAGCAGCCGAGCAGCAGCTGCGTCAGGTGCTCATGGGATCCTGACCATCCTGAAGGCTTGGAATGGAAACTGTGGAGCAGACGAAACCTTCTCCTTAGGTGTTGTTTGCCCAGGTAGAGATACAGGCTGGGGCAATGTGGAACCAGAATGATGTCAATTAGCATTAGCCCCCAAATGTGATAACGCGCAGCCCTTGCTGGGCTACATTGAAAGCTTGGATGGATTTGTTCTATGGGCCACCAATTCAACAGCCTTGGTGTAGACAAATGTTTGTTCCCTAATCTTTAGCTATTTTTAAGTATTGCTGTCCGTGACATGGGACACCGCTATAATGAAAATAGATTATCTATCGCTATAAACCACTTTTTTCAAATAGATTGTACTAAGTTCTCTGGTGTGTGGTTATTCTCAGAGTCAAAGGATAAAAATGGCAGGATTTTACAGATTTAAAATAAATTAATAATTTAACTAGAATGGCAGGAAGGAACTGCCTTAAAACATGCTCTACAATAGATGAATCATGGACCTTCAATACATGACTTAAAAACAAGGCAATTAGTGATAGAGAACTTCCTTTCCTTATAGGGAGAAAATCAACTACGAGGACAGATAAACACATACTGCATTTTTCGGACTATAAGTTGCATTGGAGTAATACTATATAAATTAAATAGCATCTATCAAAATGTGTGTAACTAGTGAAAAATGTCAATTTTTTTATTTTATATTTATCAGTCTGTCGATTTAGAAAGTGTTTACACCTTTAAGTAAGTCTTTATAATTTGAATGTATTTTTAAGTCTAATTTTTCAGTGTTGAACTAGCAAATTCACTTTTATTTAGTTTCGACCTGATTTGTTTGTTTGTGGCTGCTCAAAGGTTTCTATGGCGTCCCTGAAGGCATCGTCCTTTCAGTCCCTGTGTCTTTCACAGACAGGAAATGGTCAGTGCTGTTGGACGTGGCTGTTGGTGATGACCTCAAACAGAGACTGCAGGTTTCCACCAGTGAAATCAGACTGGTAGGAGATAAAACTGACTTCTGTAAAACACACAGCTCTACTGTGTTTTCTAAAAGAACCAACGTGTATTTCTTTGTTCCCCAGGAAAAAGAACGAGGCTCAAAAAAACAGCAGGACGGCCTTGACAACAGGCTGCAAAAAGGAGCAAAATGGTGATGAAACACAATCCAGAGAAATCTTGTAGTTTTTTTCAGTTTGTCTTTTTATTCTCAAGTTTCACATATGATGTTGCAGTTTTACCGAAACCAGTTAAATGACAACAAACGTCTTGACTGTTGGTGAAACTTGTCCACAGCTGTTACAGGTATTTAGATGTAAAAGATCAAACTGAGCAACTTTATGGAAAAAGGAGAAATTAGAAAATATATTCCTTTTTAAATTGTACAGTTGTGCAAGTGCCTTAATTATATAATCAAAGAAGGAGAAGCAGAACCTCAAGATTTTAAGCAGAAAGCACATTGTTACCAATCACAGATTAGTCTGCTCACGTCCCCTAACGTGGATTAGTTCCATTTACGGTCGACTAGTTTAAAAAGAAAACGCTCTACTCCAACAAACAAAAAAGCCACTCCTTTTCTTTTGACCTTGAAACATTCTATTTGAGCTTATCCTCTACGAAACTGTGCAGTACTTTGTCACCTGACGAGAAGAACAGAGTGCTTTTCTAATGCAGACTTTAAGTTGTTTCTTTTTGAGCATCATTTCTACAATATACACATGGGGGCGCAGTCAACTGGAAACAAGGTTAGTACAATTACAACGCTCTATAGTATAGTAGTAAAGTCTGAGGAAGCAGAGACACACCGATGTTATGTTCACTTTATACAGCCCACCCCTGAGATTTGGATGCTGAGTGGTTTTTACTAAAGCAAAAAGAACAACAAAAACGGTTGGTTATTGGTGCTGGATATTTAAAGGACATTTCCAGCAGATGAAGTAACATCCATCCAAAAACAGAAAACATGGAAAAAAAAACAAACAACAAAACATTCCTCTGAAAACTACTCAGACGTTGATTATGGTGAAACAACATGCATGATCTGTGACATGCATGGACTGGTCGTGGCACAAAGTGTTTGTTTTTCTTTTTTCTTTTTTTTTTTGGTAAATATACTGTACATTTCCCAGTGATGACTATATTATATGTACATATAAAGATCTATCCAACAATGAGTCGCGTTCTACTTTAAAAGAATGAAATTTATTTAGCCAACGTAGACGGAAGAAATTAAATGTTATGCAAATGTAAAATTCTTAACCCAAGGGCCTCGTTCGTTTAAAACAAAAATATTTCTTACACAAAGTTTGGACAGTTATAATGTGATATTGCAATGTAAATCAGTTTTTTGTAAATCATTCTTATTTTCTCAGGGGTAAAAAAACTTTTTTTTTTTAACCTATCAATCCTTTAAAGCCAGGACACTTACAAAAAACAAATACATCCAAAACAGTGGGAAAAAAATCAAAAAAATAGGTTCCAGGAAATGGAAAAAACTAATATATCCCAGTCTGTCTGGTTAGACTGAAAGAAATGTTTTTCTTTCTATATGTTACTATGTGACTGTATTACTGCACTGTACAATCATCAAAGTGGACAAATGTTTGTTTTAAACTTCCTTAAAGTTAACCAAAAAGAAGAACTGCCCTTTAAATTAAATAATTTACAGTATATTTATACATATATAGCCATATATTAATAGTCATGTAATCAAATAGTTTAACTCTTCATAACACCATCTAGTTAGAAACTGTGAAGATAGAAATCTGCTCTGATCGACTTTTTCTGCCAGACAGATTTGACACAATTGGCCTAAAATCCCCCTCATGGTGAAAACATCGGATAAAAATATACTGGATTCTACACAAAGCACAGGACCAAGACGTGAAGTGCTAATGCTAACTGCGACATCATCATCACTGTAACCACTACTCCAAGTGGCTTCCTTGACAGTTTGACAATATACCATTGGCAGAGGGCGCTCTACCACATTACTACCACAGCTCACCAAGTACATTCAAGAGTAACATCAACGCTTCATGGTCCAAAGATGAAGTGAAACATTTTAGGTTTGGAGCCAGTGAGGCCGTGTTCACACGACACCACCTTCAGATCACAAATGAGAAGTTGGCATCACATGATTATCAAACATAACCACCTGATGTCAGGGTCATCAGTGTCATTATTGAAGGCCAGAGTTTGGATAAACATGACACCATTGGAACTCTGGATGATTTCAACATACTGCTCTGATGTTAGAGGTCTGTCAGTACTGGCATTGAGAGAAATGAAGAGGACACAGGATCTAACACAGCTGAAGCTCTGAAGGTTCTGACTGTAGCCCAGCAGATAAATTGGACAATGGTTTTGACAATCAGCCATACTCAAAATACTATCAGAAGTACAACGCAACATGAGAACCTTTTAAACTCATCAACATGTTAAAGTCGACCAGAGCTCTCCTTAACCTTGAATGGTGGTACTAAAAATCAGTTTAAATCTAAAGCAGGCTTAATATGTTATGTATGAACCATTAAACATGTTGAGCAAAACACACATTAAATGCAAAACTCAGTGAAAACGTTTTGTAAATAAAACCTGTATGGATGTGATGTTCTAACATACAAATGAAAACACAAAGTTTTGAGGCAGAGCAAAAGGGAGACGACAGACGGGAAAGTTAAGAGTGTGGTTGATGTGGAGGAGATGGAGGTGTGTGTGCAGATACTCCCTCCACCTGTCTGTTCAGCTCCTCGTCCACCTGCTCCAGTTCACTTTGGTCCAGAAGCTCAAAGTCCTCTTCCTCGGTCGTAACAAGTGTGTCATCAGGCATTTCCTCACTGGTGTCTTGAACCATGAGAACGGTCTTATCCAGTTCCTCATTGGGCTCCGTGGCCGTCGTAGTTGTAACTGTAGTGTTATCTGTGGGCGGGGTGGAGGCCTCCAGTGGGCCGGGCAGACTCTGCGTGGGAAGAAACTCGGCGAGAGTGGGCTCCTCGCTGGCCTCGCTGGATGACAGCAGCGCTGACAGAGTGCTCCTCACCACAGTGGAGATGGCTGTGCTCACTATGTCCTCACTCATGGCCTCTAGGGAGCGCTGCACATCCTGGTTGACTGTAGCTTCCCTGTCAATGCCCTCCTGTTTCCCTTCCTCCCTCTCTACACTTGTCCCAGATGCCGCTGCTGCCACGTCCCCTGGTGGCCGTCCGTGACCGTTGAAGTGCGTGTTGACGAAGTAGAGTGGAGAAGCCAGATGTTGGATGAGGAGGCTGACTGGGCTCAAAGGTTCTGTCTCAGACTGAGCTGCCGCCTGGGCTCCGTCTGCCTGGACAGACCCTCGAGAAGGGAGGTGGAGCAGGTTGTGCTCGATGGATGGGAACTCCTCGACCGAGGGGAACTCAGGAAGGTCACGGAGGTATGGTTCCTCTGGGTCGCTGCCTAAACTCTGCTGGTCCAGATCTAAGGCAGAGTTCAAATAAAAATCAAAATATTTATGTTAAATCACAATCCTCATCTACTGAGAGTAAATGGCTACACTGCCTTTTAGCTGTCAAAGTAAATCTATATATTCTTTAAAAATATTCTTAAATAAATAAAATCATTCAGTTTACTTACAGCAGGCTGAGAACATGGACCAGTGACCAACTGTAACAGTATCAGCTGAAGTCAACTAAAACTCAGTTTAAATATTCCACACTGTCATTTACATAATTTCCAGCAGGTGGCAGTAATATTGTAATACGTATTTATATTGTAATATAAAGTGTTGAACAGAAAAGGCAACCCTTTTAGATATTCTTTACTTGTTCTGTTTTGATTATATAAAACTAAAAATTATATAAAAGATTTTTGTTAAAATTTCTGGCAACTAATGTCAACAACCAAAACATTGGGACTCTGACTTAATGAGAGTGCTGCTGTGTACAAATCAGTAGATTCCCATAAAAAAACATAGTGTCTATGTTTCATACTGACAGATCTGTATTTTGTTCTTCAGCTGAGATTCGGTGACAGGACTCTTATTTGCCAGGCTGCTGACTTCTTTAAAAAGTGTGTGTGTGTTTGTGTGTGTTACCTTCAGAGACATCAGTGAGCTGTGGTGTAGTGGCTCTGGACACAGAGAAGCCTCCACTTTCCAGGATGGACGCCTCCTCGTCCGACAGCTCAGAGTCAGTGATGGCCATGGCCAGAGCCGTGGTCTTCGCATCCACCTGAAGAAATAACATAAAAAACACACACACACACTGTTGTTTATTACATCTCAGGGAGTTTATTGTATTATGGTTTTGGATCTGTTTTTCTAGATTCACTGGCTCCACACACACTGTTTACACTAATGTGCTGAGTACATGTTTGTTATGAACCACATAGATATCAATTCAAGGGACAAACCACAGGAGCAGTTTCCTCAGGACATCCTGCACAATATAACAAGGTCTGGACTGATACACAAAACTATACAGTATTGTGCAGATGTATACAAATGTTTGTGTATACATCTACTGTAGTACTCAGTCTTGCAGCCTTTTTCTGGAATCTAATACAAATGACAGAACATGACTGAAAATGTTTCAGCCATTATGAGAATTTTATTAATGAACTATAAAGTATTAATTCATACAGTATGTGGTTTTATCCCCACCCCTGGAAGCCATCATTGGTGCGGTCGCCTGACTGTGGCAGGGGAACAAACCCTCTGCTCGGTTGCCTGCTTGGCAGCTGCATGGCCCCATCTGCACTTCATATCATGGGTGTGGTCTTTTCGTGAAGAAATGGGGCGTGCCTCTGTAATTTATCTTGGTCTTAACCCTCAAAATACTAAATACTCAAATACTAGAAAAAAAGCCTGCAAAACAAGACAGTGTAAAAGTACTTGACATTTGCCTACTTTACTGTAAAGGAGCTATTTATTTCTACATATGAAAAATTGTTCTTCTTAGCATAGGTGTGGTAATTTAAAGGAGGGTGGAGTGGCTGAAACCATAGCCTTTTTTGATGAGAAGAATTTTCTTGAGAAAACATCTTATTAGATTATCATTTATCCAATGAGAAGGAACACTACAACCTGACACCCAGGATTAGAGGAACAGACGTCTCAAATTATCACCTCAGAGAGATGCACATTTTTATTATTACGGCATTAAAGGTTATTTACTTCATGTGTTGATTTATAATAAGGTAACCAGGCAACAGAGATGCTAGTTTTTCCGAAACAGTTTGTTCGTACCGTTGGTGAAAAACAAGACAGCTCCTCTTCACTCTCACTCTCTGTCTCGGCTCTGGGCTCATCACCTTCCTCCAGCTCTTTCTTTACCTCTGTTAGAAACACACACACACACACACACAGAGGTCAAGTTGCTCTAAAAAATAAGCTACATGATACTGTGCTGTGGGGGAGCAATGGGAGCAGGGAGCTGTGAAACCAAACAGACTTTAAACCATAGACTGTTGATTGTCAACAGGGTTCCATTTACACAGTTACGTAACAGCTGGTGTATCACAATCCCTGATAATCTTTCTGTGTTAGCAGCATTCTGTGTAAGTGGTTTCGACTGACGTAAACATAGGAGAGCGGGCTGTATTCAACGCTGAAAAAAAAAAAATTAAACAGCAAGGGAGCTGCTTTAAAATTCAACTCATATATTTGAAATATGGGTGAACTTTGATGCAAGAGAGTAATTAGTGCAGCCTGATCACTCTGATTATAAATTGTACATACAGTATATATATATTTGGAAATGTACTTTCTGGCATAACATCTGCTCATGTTATTGTCTGTCAAAGAATACAACATAAGCTAAATATATTGACATTACAAGCTAACAGGTTCAACAGGTTTCTGATCTTATTCCGCTGGGCTATTGTCAGACTCAGCATCAGTTCCTGTTGGTCCATTTTTCTTTTCTGCTGCTTGTCAAAGTGTTCTTTAAGGTCTTATTAGTTAAGTCGTTCAATTTTTCAGTTGTACTGTCACCAGGATAGATGGTTCTCTCTTGCGGCCATAGACAATATTGGCTACATATTTTTTTTTAGGTGCAAGTCATTTTGGAATATAAATGACAGGAAATACAGTAACTGCTGTAACAACTACGACAGTTCTCACTTCTCTTGTCGTGCTTGCGATGCTCAGTCTCTCCCTTCATGCTGTAGTCCAGTTTCATCAGGATTGGCTCCAGGCCCGTATACATCCTCTGGATCAGTTCGTGGTACACCACCAATGGCCAGAGCAGGACACTCAGAGCTGAGCAAAATCCCAGAATCATTCAGTGATTTTTTTTCTCATTAGATTTTAAAGCAGGAACCAGGCATGCATTGCATTGTTTCATGCTGATTATCTACTCACCTATGATATAGGAGATCATGATCCCCGGGACATAATGTCCAACCAGAGCCAGGACAAAGCAGCCACTGCTCATCAACACACAGAACTGAGGAGCAAAATAACACACACACAAAAAAAAAGTTAGATTGACCCTCAACTTCATTAAATTCCACCAAAACATGTGACCATACACCAACTCAACCACAAGGGGGTGAACATTTAGCAGTGTTCATCCTTAGACTTGAGAGATTCCAGAGACTTTCATAATATTTATTACCAAAGATTTGTCTTTTTGCAAACTCGTGCTGAGAATTTACATATTTGTTACATCTTGTTTTATAATCTTGTTTATATCATCTTGTTTTATAATAGTGAAGCACCCTTCTATACATATGGCAATACTTTTTTTTTCCTGGAGTACTTTGATCCAGCCGTTTGTCCCCAACAATCAGACTCCACTGTTCTCACTGTGTACCTTGCCGTGGTTCTGTCGTTTGTACTGCAGCATCTCCTGCAGGTAGAGGCAGCAGGTCAGGTAGCTCTCTGCCAGGTGGTGACTGAGCTCAGGAACGCTGAGCAGATGCTGCTCCACACTTACAGCTTCACTGTGAACAGGAAGAAATGTGCACACACACACAAAAACAAAGAAAGGGTAGAGGGGGGAAAAGACAGCTGTAAATGATTATACCAAAAAATGAAGATTCCATGTTTTTGTTTGGGGGAGTGGCAAAACACACGCACGCACGCAGAACAACTAGACCAGCAGGATTACATGAGCTGAAATGTTATGTTGCTATGTGTCAAAGCGGTGGAATTTAGTACAGGCTGTTATTTTGAAATGTTTCAGGTGAGGAAATGACACAAGAGAACACACCTTTGTACAGGACGAGTCTCTGCCTGTTCAACTGTCATGAGAAGAGAAGGGAATCAGAATCAATCAATAATTATCAGAATTTATGAAATCCAAACATTTTAGCACAATTCTGGTTCTGTGTGGAATATTCCCTCTAAAGTGTCAACTTCTGTTCCTCTGAGCAGCCAATGTTCAACGTTTCCTAAGCAAATACAGTTTTGATAATATACAGACCAAATTCAAATAAAGTTCTGGCTTTACCAGTTTTGTACAGCTTTAAATAAACTCATTACCTTTAAGAAATAACACGCAAGTTACACATTTACACAGAAATCCAAATATCATGTAGCTACCAAGCAAAAGAATTCCTGGAGCTGGACACGTAAAGAGCCTGGGATTATAATTTAGGTGTTTACCAGTGATGATGGGCATTTTGGGCTTCCATCTCTCCAGTAGCATGAGTCCCAGCAGGGACACACTCAGTAGGAACAGTGGACGCAGGGAGGTGGAGGACAGCAGCCTGTAGGCACCAAAAAGGCAAAAAGTTTCTGGAGTCATTTTGAGCTATTGACACATGACCTGCAAAATTCTAAAATAGTGGTAGTTTGTAAATTGCTGATTATGTTGCCTTATATTGTTATTGTTATCAGGGCAAGATGCCTTAAGTTTTCCAAGCAGAGATTTAAAATTTTAAGCAGGTTTAAAGTTGACTTTTTTTATAAAACAATATTTTATAAGAAAAAAACTAAGAGTCTTCAACTCCAAGCCAAACTAACAGAGAGATGGAGCAGGGAACCTCAACTGTATCACTCACTGATTCCTTTATTTGATTAAATTATATCTGTTGGACTCCTGTTGAAGTTAATATGAAGACATTTAAATATGTTTTTGAAAAAAATGGTGGACAAATTAAAAGCAGTGTCTGATCAAGTACAAATTCTAGGACCCTCCTGCACTACCTACAACGACACCTAGAGGTTGCAAACCCCGTTGAAGACGTCTGCTTTAAAGTACCACTAATGGATTTGTTCATAAATTTAATTAACAGATTATTATTTACACATGTTAATAGATGCACACGAAAGGCAAACAAGAGCTCCCCCTACAGTTAAGATCATCTGCCCATGAGCATCAGAATACAGACAGAATGAAAGACAGCATCAAAAGATGTATCTAATTAGGCAGCCAGTGGGTTGATTTATTTTTGAGGCTGGGCTGCTCCGCCATTCAGTCGCCTGAGGAAACACCTCAGTGAGGGCCTCACATAACAGCAGACTGGAGACTGGAGTAACAAACTGTCACTGACAGCTGCTGATGTCAGCCTGGACCACTCAGTGTGACACCAGTGTTTGTTTGTTTGGATTAGGCCAAACAGAAGCAAACAGGTGCCGTTACTAAAAATAACTCTGCGTTTCTCTGTTGTTGTCACTGGTGGCACCAGTAGGAATTACTTGATGTTGGTATGCCAATAAGAAAAAAAAATGGTACTGACCTCAAAAGAAATGCAAACATACTGTCAGATATAAAAAGACAGGGATAGTTTGGAAAGATTTGTCTAAACCATGTGGTTTTGTGAAGGGCCATTTGCAATAAAAAAAAGTCAATTTGTATTTAATTTTTATGGATCAAAGAATGTCAAGTAGAAGGCCCTCACGCTTGTTCACTTAATCAAATGTTGCTTCATTAAAAAAAAAAAGATTACACGCTGCTGCTACAAAAGAACTGATCTCAGCCACATGAGCCACTTTGTAAATCTCCTAAATTAACTAGTGAAAGCTGTACATGTGTTAAAAAAGGTTTCCTGTGGTAATAAAGTGTTACCAAATGATTACCCTGTTTGTGTAGGGTTAGGGTTATTTAGTGGTCCTAAATTTTGGCTCCAGAACGCAAGTCATTGTATTGAACTGGAACTGTTGCCTGTAAAAGTAATACAGTGAACATAGGCTTTAGAGGCCAAGACGCTCAGAAACAATTCAGTTTCACAGCTTATTGTCTTTGGTTGTTGATACATACAGGGTAAACAACATTTTATACAGTGTTTCGCAAACATTTTGTATAACATAATATCATTAGGGTCTATTATTTTAGAAACATAACAGTATAAGAATTCTGGGCCACAACGCCCAGCCCTCAACCTGACTTGCTGCTGTTGCGGCAAATGAAACACGCGTGATCCAGCTACAAACATAAAATCTCATTTGCAAACTCCCTCTAGTGGTACTTTAGAATTAAACCACCAGGTTTGTCAGGGGTAGCGAGAAAGATGATATTCTAATCTACTTACATTTAATAAAACACACGTTAAATGTAAGAATTACCCTCGTTGTGCAAAATTAAGAATCTCGGTTTATGTCAATGCGTTTCATGAAATGTCACACTGCCTGTATATTAGCGAGTTAATGACTAAAAAAGGATTAAAAACATTCTCGGTTTTTATCGTGATACTTTATATTATCGCCCATAAATCTACACCTAACTGTCACATTAATCTGTGTCAACTACATTCTGCGACATTAAATGTAGTGTAAATAAAGTTTAATGTAACGTCCAGGCTCTGTTAGCATTAGGCTACATAGACACGGGATTAAACTAACTGCTGTTGACAGTCGCATGAAGCTGCCGTTGGTCTTGACAACGGTGGGTCTAGTCGTCATATTTAAGTCTCATAAACGTAAAGAAAACAAATATGTGACGTTTACCAAAATAAAGTGTTGAGCGTCACCGCCACTGCGACGCTGTACAGTGGCCTCTCCCACACCAGCAGCCGCTGCACCCACACCAGCACAGGCTCGTACGGTGACAGCCAGTCCTGGAGACTCTCCCGCAGGCAGACAAGCTCCGGGTTTCCGTCCCCGCAGACCTGCTCCCCTGTCCCGGCAGGGAACAGAGCCTCCAGGCCGATCGAAGAGGAGGAAACCGAGGGGAGTCTTTTGGCCTCCTCTTCGCTCGCCATGTTTTCCCCCCACTTTGTTATGTTGTTTTGGAGATCACGGGGAGTACGGAACAGATCGATGTCAAGTTTTCCATGCAGCTCCAAAACTTAACTTCCGTTATCTTTTTTCAACATAAAAGCCGTATACACCGCTTTCGAGTATACAACAAATAAAGGCTTACAGTAAAGGCTTTCTTTGACTTTGATACAAAACGCTTTACTGTCAATCAGAACCCAAATCAAACAATTGTCTTCATTCGTTATAGATACAGTAAATTGAAAAGAAAAATAGCAATAACAATTACTATATCAGTTTTGCTTTTTACTGATAAAAAACTGATGACATAAAATACCTACTATACTAATTATTACTAAGTAATTGCTTCCTCAGGATATTTTAATATGTTAAAAGTTAATATAGTCAATTAAAATATATTGAAAACAATATTCTGTGTGTAATAAATACAAATGATGGTTCTTTAGGTGTTTCGTTATGGAGTATTTTATTTACCTTAGTATAGAAACAGAAAAAAAGGTTGTTTATTGCATGATAAATTGCTAAAACATAGCAATCACAGATAATAGCCGACCTATTTATTCATCAACAGAAGAAAGACGAATTTTAACACGCGTGATCATTTTAGTCTGAAAACACTCTCTGCCTATTCCCGACCTTTTCTTTGAACTTGACGCATCAAAGACACAGAGGGGCGGAGGGATCATAAGGCCACAATGACGACAGAAATATGTAGTCACGTGTTTCCTTGTTTACTGAAAAGAGAGGATGGGGTTAAACAAAAGAGTTCCAATGCCACCCCCGTGTGGATACAGGCGAAAGTGCATGAAGGTTGTACAAAGGTTAGACAGGTTGTCGAAAAGGAAATGTTGTACCCACCAGTGGACTATATTCAATCATTGATCGTTTGGATCAAATTATTCCAAAATCAAACATTTTGTCAAATATAATATTGTTTTTCTATTTTGTACAAAACAATAAATAAAGTGATACTGCACAGTTTGTTTGATGTGATGAAGCAAAAAACCAGTGAATGTTTTACTCATTTCAGCACTCACTAACAAAGCTTGAACTATTCATTTATTGCTCAACAGCAGCATGGCCAGGGAGTGTCTCCTCTTGTGAGTTCTCAGTTGGATTAGACGTAAATTTCTGGAAGACATAATCAAAGCTCCTGTAAATTTAGAGTGAAACAAAATGTTTCTCTTTTATCACAAAGAGTGGAAACAAAATGTTTCTCTTTTATCACAAAAAATCATAAATATTACAGGTAAAAAAAAAAAGTCAAAAGTCAATAGGTGATAAGTGTGGTCAATACCTGTGAGTGCTGGTGACCAGACAACAGGGTAGGAAGGGGTTCACAGCCTAACTGCCCAGGTACAAGGCCAGGACGCTAACCTACACAGGTGGAAAAAGGCGAGAGACCCCACGTAGCTGCTGCTAGGAGAAAAGCGCATCAATACCTGCAGGAGTTAGGACCATGGCCTGCAGGAGGTCAGACAGAGAGATGATGCCCCTCACCACATCAGCCCTGTCCACCAGAACCAGTCGATGGACCTACGATGAGAAGGAGAAATGACAAAGTTTTCCCTGTCTATTTTACAGAATACTTCCCCGTAGGAAACGCTCACCTTAGCGCCGACAATCCGATCTATAATAATTTCCAGAGATTCATGGGGGTAGCACTTGATGACTCCCTCAACATAACACGTACGCCTGCTGATGGCTTCCTGCATAGTGATGTCCAGATTGTTGTAAGTCTTCTGGGCTGCCAGATTCTGGACAGAAATATATGAAAAAATAAATAAATAAATAAATAAATAACAGTTTCTGGGCAAAGGTCAGGAAACAATACACAACCAAAGGGCACAAGAAAAGATTTCTCTGTTATTCTTACAATCACGTCAAATCTTGAGTACAGCGCCACCACTTTACCTAAAAGAACATAAGAATGGAGCATCAGTACTGAATAATAATACATGATATATATAGTCCTTTAGGAGACTTTACCCTGTTCATTCACCACAGGCAGTGCTGACACACGCCTTTCCACAAATATGGAGAGCGCTTCATAAAGTGATGCCGTTTCTTGGACCGTGGCAATGTTCCTGAATGTTCCGATCCCGAGGTCTTTAATGGGTGTCCGAATAAAGGCAGGCTTGGGAATTTTTTTCCCCTAAAAGGAATCAAAGCCAGCTGGACAAATGTAGTAGGACAAAAACAAATGAAAAAGGCCAGACAAAATATAAATGAAATGACTGAAACAAATGCTCACAAATATATATAGAAACTTGAGGATTCGTTTGTGGGTCAGAATGTGCAGGACATTCCCAGATTCCGGATCGATGACAGGAAGTCTGTGGATCTTATATTTGAGTAAGGAATAAATGGCATCAAACAGGCTGGAAGGAAAACAGAGGGAAGACATCAGAGTTTCACTGCTCGCCATCTTGACTCAGGCGATTCACTGTGTACACAGTGTGTGACGTGGACTCACCTGGCCTGTGGAGAAATACTAATGAGGAAGCGACTGGAATATTGTAGGTGGATGTCTGAGGAGGAGAGGAGGTAAATGTTCAGAGCTGATCTGTGGGCTAACACACACACAGACAGATACACACACACACACACGCACGCACACACGCACAGAGAGGCAACAACTACGATCACATGCTGATTATTTACTTGGGAATGAATCACCTCTCCATGTTTCGATCTTGTGACTCTCCAGTTCATACATTTGAACCTAGAGAGGAAAGCATCGCGACTGTCACTGACTGTAGATTCAGGGCATTATATACTATATTTATCAGGCAACTCATATCTGTTGATTGACTTGGCTTTATGATGCCTGCTGCTTATAACATGGAGTAAAATCTCATCTCATCTCATCAGATCAAATCAAATCAAATCAAATTAAATCAAATCTCATCTCCTCATCTCATCATCTCATCTCATCTCATCTCATCTCATCTCATCTCATCTCATTTTTGGATGATGACCACAGCCTCAAGAGAAAAAAAACCCAAAGTCATTCTCACCATGGGAGACTTGTAATAGCAGTGGAGGATGTTGATGAAATCTGTAATGGTCAGCTTCCCTGCCACACACACACACACACACACACAGCTTTAAATGATCATCTAAACATGGCATCATCATGTTGTCCTGTGGGTCATGTACAGGTTAAAATAACATTTTTATAATATTTCCTACACAACAGCAGCAACACAACAACATTAGAACAAGAGAGTGAGAACAGGTCAGGCGTCCATTTCAAACATGTTGAACACCTGCATGTTCAGTCTATAGAGCAGACAGGTCTATTGGTGATTTAAGCTTGAACCACATCTTACCCACAAATCTTTGCATGTTGCTGTCCCACAGTGGCGCTGCTCTCAGGCTGTTTGCCACCAAAGCAAAGAAGGCCTTTTTTACCTTTGCAAAGAAATACATTCACACTGTGGGTCTGAGGATTTTCACACTTACCTCATTGTTAGTGTGAATGAGCTCTTACTTGCAGTTTGGTATCAAATATGACCAGTTTGCAGCTGGTTGGAATGGCATCGTAGCAGCAGTGACTCTTCATGAAGTTCATGTAGACGGTGCCGTCAGCCTCTGGGAGGCACAACATGATCGAGAGTGAGGAGCACACTGAAGACCAAACACACACACACGCACACAGACACACACTGTAATCCTACCTTGCCTCTGTATTTCCATCTTCTCTTTTGAGATCCATACCTGCAACCAAGCAGGAAAACATTCCACACAGTGACACATTTAATAACCTTTGTGAGCTACGTCTGTTATTGACACTTAGAGACGACATTTTACCGGTGAAGAAGGTTCCATGGTTCTATTGTGTCCATGTAAAAGACGCTGCTTCCTTCCTTCTTGACCCGTTCCTGCAGTGCTCCTGGGTCTATATTAGGAACACTCTAGTGGTATGTGTCCAGGGTGAGGGAGGAGGGGGGAGTACAGAAAAAGCTGGCTCTGGCTAAGTGGGAGGGACATGAAGGGACGCTATTCAGAAAAACTTAGACTATTGTGCTGCAAAAGGGACATTTTAATGTCTGTCTCCTTATGATCATCTGAAAACTGGACATCAGACATGACTCAAGGAAACATGATCGTATGTCCAATGGTGCTCAATTTTAGTTTGTGTTACATTTAGTTAAGTTATGGTCTGCATTTCAACATGCCATCGATGTCAAAGTGACATTCTCATTTGCAAAAATGTAAACCTTCACAGAGGGCTTCACATTCAATTCAATTCTGACAGCTGAATGGTGTGGTGGCATCTGTCTGACCAATCATAACTGCTGTTAGTAGTTATGCATGTTTGAAGTGTTCATACAGAGCAGCGGTAGTACTGCATTACTCAGTGCCACTTATGTCTAAAAAGAAGCAGAATATTTGTGGGATCCTTTGAACAGGATGTCTATTATACTGTGTCCTAATGAAGTAGAACACATGTAATACTGTATGTGCTACCGTTTTTCATGTTAGTGTGAGTATCAGCCGTTACTCCAGGTTGCAGTGTCAATAAGTGCATGAGGAAGAATCATCAATGACAGTGAATATTGGTTGAGGTTCGATTTTCTCAAAATAAGACTGTGTAAGAAAATTTGCCCTCTGGTGGTTTCCCGTTGCTACTACAATTTTTGAAGTAAAAAACACAAATGTAAAGGCAAGGTTTTGTACAGTGATGCAAAGTGTTGGATCCAAGATAGTTTCAGACAAACAGCCAGGTTATTTTTCCATTTATTTTTTTTCCTACAGGAGTTACTTTTCATAAAACAATATTTGCAAGATTACATCATCATTTACAAAAATGTTTTATAAGGTATTTTTTAACCCTTGTATCAAATACAATGCTGAGAGCAAACTGCCAGAGGTTTGACCATGAAGTGTAACTGTATGCATTCAGTAAAATATTTACATCTGTCTGAGATGAAAGTGACAACAGTAAAAATGGAGTGAGGTGTGAGATTCAGACCACGTCAACAACAGCTGCTGATGCTCTTACGCATGTTGTACTCAGACATTCACCATCCACACCAACCACAAACC